ACACATGTTTAAGTTTACATGCAGATTTTTTTTCAATAAATACAGTAGAGTACTGAAAATGTGTTTTTCTTACTTATGATTTCCTTAATAACCTTTTCTCTTCTTTAGTTTTATTGTAAGAATACAGCGTATAATACATATAAACACACAAAATACATGTTAATAGACCATGTTATCAGTAAGGCTTCCAGGCAATAGTAGGTTTTTAGTAGTTAAGTTTTGGGAAGGTCAAAAGTTATGTCAATTTTCAACTGCATGGTGCTCAGTGCCCCTAACCCCCACATTGTTCAAAGGTCAATTGTAATTAGTGTATTTTAAGATGGGAGTTCTTAACTTTTTGGTCTTAGGATTCTGTTATACTCTAAAAGTGGCAGCCCAAAGAGTCAGTTAAAAACAAAAACAAAACCAGCCAACCAACCAAACAAACAAAATAAACATAGGTTCATTAACAGGAATATTGGCTGGGGCTGTGTAATGGCTTCTTCCCACATAGCACAGTAATCGCACCTGCTTTTTAAATTTTTAAAATTTTTTTAAATGTTTATTTTTGAGAGAGAGAGAGAGAGACAGACAGACATACAGACAGCATGAGCGGGGTCAGGGGGAGCAGAAAGAGAGAGGGAGACACAGAATCAGAAGCAGGTTCCAGGCTCTGAGCTGTCAGCACAAAGCCCAAAGTGGGGCTCAAGCCCATGGACCAGACCACAAGATCGTGACCTGAGCTGAAGTCGGACGCTCAACCAAGTGAGCCAACCAGGCACTCCAACAGCCTGTTTTTGATTTATAGCTGACAGTGAGGTTTAAGAGAGGTAATAGAGTAGCTTACAGCCTTTCAAGCAAAACCAGGACAACCATAGGGCTAGCTCAATTGCATTCAGCAACACCTGTCTTGTAAGGCACGTTCTATCTGGGGAAGAAATAACAGTTTTTCTTGATGGCCAGAGTGATTATGCAGCATAAGCACATAAACCCAAAAAACTTAGCAAATAGGCTCCTAAATTTGGGAGGTGGCTTATCAGTCAGTCCTGTGGGCAGCCTGTGATGATGCTTTGGGACACTGACACTGAGGCTTTGACTTGCCAACCAGTGGGTTATCTATCATCTATTAACAGGTTGGACAATGGGGGGACCCTTACTCATCCACCACTTTGGCAAGAGCATTTGCTACTGGATCCCAGGGAGTTTTAATGTTCACTGTCTTAAACTATCAAGTGGACAAGCAGTCCTTCAGCTTAAGTAGTGTGGTGGCTAATAAGGCTACATGTATCACTACTACAGCTGTTCAGCATGGCTTGCCATTCTTCCACAGACTCAGTTAATTAGGAGACAAAAAGCTCAAACACATTCAGACAATTTTACAAGGTCATCATGGTATCAGTTTCCTGCATCCCTAGTCCCATTAAACAAACAAACAAACAAACAGTAAATCAGAGGAGCCATATGGGTAGTACCAGTGGTGGTCACTTTTCTGCTGAAAAATCACCTCTAAACTTGAGTCAAGTGCTTCTATAACCAGCAGTCATTCCCAAAGGAGAGGTGAAGTGGTAAGTCTTGTGGTCAACTGCAGCCGGGAAGATGGATGAGAAATGGCCTTTGGGCTATTTCTCATAAGGCTGCTTCTCTCCCTTGGTTTTGGGGAAATCCAGGGCATTCCACCGAGACTCAGACTGCAATTAAATTTTGCGTACTTGGCCTGTATGGAGATGTATAAGGTAAACAGAGTGTCATGGTATAACTAGTCACTTGCAATATTGCAAACGTTAAATCAGTCTTGCATTTGGGTGATCATTCCTGGCATAAATACACTTCTTCATGGTATATTATCATTTTTATAAATGGCTAGATGCAATTGCTTATATTTTGTTAATGACTTTGCATCTATGTAGTAAAAAATTTAACTTTGCCTAAAGACAAGTCTGTCTTTTACTCTCCTTGGCTTCTGGAAGGTAATCTCTAAGCCCTTTAATGTCATTCCTGACAGAAATGTCTTTGCCTGAGGGCCTTTAGTCACCGGACAGTCTAACAATGTGACTTAAGGGTGAGGACTCTGAGTCACATGGTATGATCTCCTCCTCTTGAGGGGACAGAAACTGTGATCAGGCACATGGGCAGTCAACAGTGCATAAGTAATGGAACTCCAATAACGACTCTGGACAGCAAGGGTCAGGTGAGCTTCTCTGGTTGACAACTCTCCATGTGTGTTTGTCACATATTGCTCCTGAGAGCAGCTAACTCTGTCTATGATTCCTAAGGGACAGGATAACTCAAAGCTCTGTATTTGGAACCCTTCCAGACCCTGTTCTATGACAGATTTTGATCCTCTCCCTGTGATACCTGTGAATACAATTTTCAGTAAGTTCTGTGAGGCCTTCTAGCAAATTAGTTGGGAACCCCTGAACTTGCAATTAGTGTCAGAAGTAAGCATGGTTTGGGAGAACTCTAAATTCTATAGTGATGTCGAAAGTAAAAGCAGTCTTTTGGAGACTGTTTCTCAAAATTTGTAGCATTTATGCTCGTGGGGTAGGTTGGCCTGTCATTTTCTTTTCTTGTCTTTGTCTAGTCTGGTATCAGGGAAATGATTCTGAAAATGAATTGGGAAGTATTCCTTCTTCCTCTATTATCTCAAAGACTTTGTATAGGATTGGTCTTTTTTCCTCCTTATATATTTGATGGAATTTATTAGTGAAGCTATCTGGGCTTGGGGTTTTCTTTGTGGAAAAGTTTTTTAATTAGAAATTCAAATAATCTAATAGCTGCTTGGCTATTCAAAATTTCTATTTCTTCAAGTGTTAGTTTTGCTAAGTTGTCTTTTTCAATGAATTTGTTCATTTTATCTAAGTAGTCAAATAAATATATTGCATTAGGTTGGTATAAATGTGTGAATAATATTCTCTTTTTAATATCTGTAAGATCTGTACTGATAGCTCTTTTTGCATTCATGAGGTGAGCAATTTGTGTTTTCTCACTGTTTTTTCTTAACCGAATAAATCATATTTAATTTAATAAATTATACTTAAATATTATAGTAATTGAATATAAATTTAATTCATTCAATTTAGTTATGTAACATTGAAATGTAATGAATTAGGTGAATTTGAATTAAAATTTAAATGTGTTAAATGGAAATTGAATTAAATTAAATCATATTAAATAAAACGTAAAATATCAAAGTAAAAAAATTAAATTGAAATTAAATGATACTTGAACAAATTGAATTAATATTAAATTATTTTGAACCAAATTAAATTGAGTAAATCAGAAATCAGTAATGTTAAATTTGAGTAATTACATTTAAGTCATACTTGAACTATATTCCCTTAAACTTATTTTCATACATCAAATTGTAATTAACTTAAAATTGAATTATATGAAATTCATAAATTGATGTTAAACTAAATTTATCTGAGTACCTTACCAACACATATTCATTTATACTAAAACTAATACATTAAATGAACAATTAATTTGATGAATTAAATTGTTTATTAAAATAAATTACAATCAAATTAAGATAACTCAGTATTAATTAATTTAAAAAAGGAGGCAAGTCTGGATTTGAAGTTCCATTTTGTGGATTAAAAACCTGTTTTAGGAAGAGAGGGTCACAGAATCCATGTTGCGGCTTCTGTGTCTTTGGTGTCTGTGATGGTGTGGAGGGGACAACGAGTAAAAACGTTTAGGAAAGGCGAAAAAATAACACAAAACCCCAGATATCTGAACCATACACAGGACAACCATCAGTAGCAAAGAAGTTGCTACGTCCAGAGCCAAGAAATCCAGAATAAATGTTAGCAAAGAGTGAAAATTTTCATTTTCCCCAGACCCCTCTCTTCAACCCGAATCAAGTCGTTCTGACTTTGAATGTGGACATGTGGACATTTAGTATGACCACGACTCGCGTATCCCGTGGGATTTGGGGTGATGGGGGCACTGACCTTTTGTATGTCATTTGACCTCCGTGGTTGCCAGAGTTAGATCATTACCCTGAGACGCCTAGCTCTCCGATCTGTCCAGATTTTTTTTTTTGTACTTAATCTAATTTAAAACAGAATGTTAAAATTAATTTTATAGGAAAGAATTGAATGTGTATGAAACAAGAGAACCAAAGCGGACGTCACCAGGAACCTGTCAAATCCACAGGTCGGGGAAGACTTGGTGAAGCCAGTGTCTCGGATTTCAAAATCTACTTTGGTTAGGCCACTTCTCACCAGAGTCGGTCAGTCCACCACCGTTCATGGCCTTGCACCGTTGCTTGGGACTAATTCTGAGAAGCGAGAGCACTCCTGCAAAAGCCCAGGGGCTGAACCGTGCCAGGCCTGGCTGAGCGGGAAAGAGCGGTGGAAGGTAAACGTCGCAGACATAACAGGGGGAATGGTTTCCTTCGCAGCGCACGACACCCACTCTGCTGGCGTCCCATTTATACATGTGAAAGGGTAAAGTGATTGAATAGAAGAATGAGTGTGACTTGATACAGGTCGTGTTTCGGAAGCCGCCACTTTTTCTGTGAACTTCTCAGCAGGACAAGCCTCCAGCGTACGGAATCGATGGTCAAAATGGCGGCACCTTGTGGAAGCCGCGATTGGGGCGCTGCCATGTATTGCCTGTAAACGTACGGACTCGGCCATCTTACGGAATCAGATTCCAAGATGACGGCATATGCGTGGAAGTGGCGCATAGGCGCGGCCATGTTGCCTGTAACGTTGTGTCCGTACAAGTGGTCACCGTACGGACTCGGCCGACAGAGTGGCGGTGATCTCGGGAAAGCTGCGATCCAGGTGCGGCCATGTTTCCCGCACTTACGGATTCGGCCGCCTTACGGTATCAGTAGTCAATAGTCAAGATGGTGGCGTCTGAGAGACTTGTAGCGGCTCTAGGCGCCGGATCTACTTGTTTGCTGCGGAGCCGACGCATTGGGCCTGCGCAATAAGAGTACGGTGCCCGGGAGGCGCGACCAAAGCGGAAGTAGTTGTGGGCGCCTTTACAACGGCCGCGAACGCCAGCGAGAGGTCTGTGCAGCAGGTTCGCGGGTCGCTGGCGGGGGCAGCGGAGGGGTGCGCCGAGAGCGGTGAGATGGTGAGTACGAGTCCCGGGAGGGGGTCGGCAGTCGAGGTCAGTGGGATTGGTAGAGGCGGGGTCCGTGGGCAGAGGCAAGAGAGTCTGTGGTGAACAGTAGGAAGAGTCTGGGCAGTATGGTGGGCGCCCGTGGTGAGCCTTAACAGGGGTCTGTGGGTAGAACGTTGGAGGTCTGAGGTTCTGAAAATTTTCTGATGTGTGAACCATCTGGGAGTTTTGTGATGAGCCATTTTAGGGGTTCGTAATGGAAGTTTAGTAGGGGTCTCTCGATAGATAGTTCCGTGGCAATCCGAATGGGAGATTGGGCAGAGCCGCACCAGGCAGTGTGTAATAAGCTGTGATGAGTCTGTGTCAAGGAGTTCGTGGGGAGCCGTGATGGGGGGCGGGGTTGTCTGTGGGGTTAATAACGGGAGATCTATGGGAAACGGTGTTGGGAAGTGTGTAGAATATATCCCGTGGTGTCTGTGAGAAGAGATGGGGGCAATATGTGATGCGCGGTAGTTTATAACTAACCGTTATGAGTGTGTGGATAGAGTAATGTGTTAGTGATGGGAAGTCTGAGACAGAATGATGGGATCTGAAAGAACGGTACTGGGGTGTTAGGGATGAGTGATGGGAGTTTGTGGGGACCGTGATGCAAAGATCTATGAGGAACTGTGATAGAAAGTTTATTGGCAGAATGTTGGGGTTTGTGGTGAGCCACGATGGAGCTGTAGCAAGGAATGAGGCACCATGATAGGGGTTCTCTAAGAAGCCATGATGGGGGGGGGGTCCCACAGGAGGGTGATGGCTCAGACCCAGAGCCTCCAGATGCTGGAGAGGACAGCAAATCGGAGAATGGGGAGAATGCACCCATCTACTGCATCTGCCGCAAACCAGATATCAACTGCTTCATGATGTGAGCCGGGGAGAGGCGGGTGGGGCTGACACCTGCAAGGTTGGGTGAGGCTGATGGGTCTGGCCCCTCACATCTGCACCACTCACCCCATCCTCTGCAGCGGGTGTGACAACTGCAATGAGTGGTTCCATGGGGACTGCATCCGGATCACTGAGAAGATGGCCAAGGCCATCCGGGAGTGGTACTGTCGGGATTGCCGAGGTGAGGGGGGGGGGGGTGCCTGGATAGGGCAGGCAGGTCCACCTGCCTTGAGGGAAAAGCCATAAAGGGAGGGTGGGTCATAGGGAGTAGTGACGTGTGTCTGTGGGTGATTGTTGGTTTGTGGTGAGTTGGAATGGAGACTCCACTGTGAGCCCAAACACAGGGTCCCACCAGAGGGGTTAGCCTGCCCTGGAGTAGGGGGACAGAGCAGGTGAGTGGGACAGAAAAGAAGAGGAAGAAAGAGTTCTGGGACCATCCAAATCCCTCATTGTTAACCTGTCCTGGTCCCACTGTCTGCCCCGCAGAGAAAGACCCCAAGCTGGAAATCCGTTATCGGCACAAGAAGTCACGGGAGCGGGACAGCAATGAGCGAGACGGCAGTGAGCCTCGGGATGAGGGTGGAGGGCGCAAGAGGCCTGCCCCGGATCCAGATCTGCAGCGCCGGGCGGGGTCAGGGACAGGGGTTGGGGCGATGCTTGCTCGGGGCTCTGCTTCGCCCCACAAATCCTCTCCACAGCCCTTGGTGGCCACACCCAGCCAGGTGAGTGGCTGCCACGGCTGGGATAGGTAGGGTGATCCCGTGTCAGGCCCTCCTTGGGTTCCTGATTTCTGTTCCGGGCCCCTTCCCCCAGCATCACCAGCAGCAGCAGCAGCAGCAGCAGCAACAGCAGCAGCAGATCAAACGGTCAGCCCGCATGTGTGGCGAGTGCGAGGCCTGCCGGCGCACTGAGGACTGTGGCCACTGTGACTTCTGTCGGGACATGAAGAAGTTTGGGGGCCCCAACAAGATCCGGCAGAAGTGCCGGCTGCGTCAGTGCCAGCTGCGGGCCCGGGTGAGCATGGGTAGAGCTGGGCAGGGCCAGGTGGGGTCGTCAGTGTGTCCAGGAGGAGCTCATTGAGGCTAGGAGGGGTGGGCCAGGTGAGGTGGGGCCTACTGCACATAGACAGGTGGGAAGGAGCCTGACCTGTCCAGACGAATGGGGCGTGATCAGGTGTGCAGGGCTAGCAGGGGCGCCTCCAACCCCAGATGGGCAGAGTAGAGCCAGATGTTTCAAGGTGGTCAGGCATGTCAGGCCAGGTGGGGCAGGGTTCAGCATGTCCTAGTGATGAGAAGTAGGAGTAGTGGGTATGTTTCTGGGGAGGCGAGGCAGGGTTAGTTGGTGGGGCTAAGCTCTTGTGGGAGGGGCTAGGGCAGGGCCACCCTCCATCCACTTGGGGCTGACCTGGGCCTTCCTCCTGCCGGCACAGGAATCGTACAAGTACTTCCCTTCCTCGGTGAGTCCAGCCCCCCAGGGCGGGGCGGGGCATGCGGGCAGGGCGGTCAGGGCCAGTCCTGAGATTCTGCCCTGCAGCTCTCGCCAGTGACGCCCTCAGAATCCCTGCCAAGGCCTCGCAGGCCACTGCCCACCCAGCAGCAGCCACAGCCATCACAGAAGCTGGGGCGCATCCGTGAGGACGAGGGGGCAGTGGCATCATCAGCGGTCAAGGAGCCACCTGAGGCTACGGCCACACCTGAGCCACTCTCAGACGAGGACCTACCACTGGATCCTGACCTGTACCAGGACTTCTGTGCAGGGGCCTTTGATGACCATGGCCTGGTGAGCAGGTGGAGCGTGCCATGGTGGAAGGGTGGAGGTTACAGAAGCTGAGTTTCCATGATGAGGAGAGAGAAGGCAGAGTATGGAAGGCTGATTTGGGAACTGAGTAGGTGGTGGGGTAGTCACAAGTGGGGCAGGTGGGTCAGCATATGCCTCACTTGCAGCCCTGGATGAGTGACACAGAGGAGTCCCCGTTCTTGGATCCTGCCCTGCGGAAGAGGGCAGTGAAAGTGAAGCATGTAAAGCGTCGGGAGAAGAAGTCTGAGAAAAAGGTGACGGGAAGGGTGAAGTGGGTGTGGGAAAGCAGAGGGCAGGGAGGCGAGGGAGAGGCAAAGGTCAGAGGCTGGATGGGGCAAGAGCCAGAAGGGGGTGGAATACGGGGGGAGGCAGGCATTCAGGGCTGACTTCAACTCCACCCTGACCTGACCTGCTTTGTCCCATAGAAGGAAGAGAGATATAAGCGGCATCGGCAGAAGCAGAAGCACAAGGACAAATGGAAACACCCAGAACGTGCCGATGCCAAGGACCCTGCGTCGCTACCGCAGTGCCTGGGACCTGGCTGTGTGCGCCCTGCCCAGCCTGGCTCCAAGTATTGCTCAGATGACTGTGGCATGAAGCTGGCAGCCAAGTGAGTCACTCCTGGAGAGTTCAAGGGAGTCGGGGAGTATAGGGTCGGGCATGACCAGATGTCTTCCGGTCAGTCACCTGCACACCGTTCGGTCCACGAAGCACCCCCCATCCACTCCTCATCCATCTACCATTCTGGTGCTCATCTGCCTTTTTATCTACTGCTCAGTCACTGATCCTTTTGCCGTTTGGTCACCCATCCGTTCTACCATTCTTGGATCCACCCCCCGCCCCACCTATTTTGTTGCTTGCCACTTTCCCTGCCTGCACCCAACCAACTGCCTCCCTGCAGCCGCATCTACGAGATCCTCCCCCAGCGCATCCAGCAGTGGCAGCAGAGTCCCTGCATTGCTGAGGAGCACGGGAAGAAGCTGCTCGAACGTATTCGCCGTGAACAGCAGAGTGCCCGCACCCGCCTCCAGGAAATGGAGCGCCGATTCCATGAGCTTGAGGCCATCATTCTTCGTGCCAAGCAGCAGGCTGTCCGTGAGGATGAGGAGGTGAGCAGGCACAGGCCCAGCGGTGCGGGGCCCAGTACCTAGTCCTGACTGGCCTCATCGTTCTTTCCGCTCCACACAGAGCAATGAGGGTGACAGCGACGACACGGACCTGCAGATCTTCTGCGTCTCTTGCGGGCATCCCATCAACCCACGTGTTGCCTTGCGCCACATGGAGCGCTGCTACGCCAAGGTCAGGGTGTCAGCCTGAGGGGGAATCATCAGTGGGTCCGTGGGGGAGAGACGTGTTGTCTGGGGGGGTGTCTTGGGATGCAGCACACATCCACAGTTCCTTCCATTTGTGCTCATCCCTCCAGTATGAGAGCCAGACGTCCTTTGGGTCCATGTACCCCACACGCATTGAGGGGTGAGTGTGGGCGCTACGTGGAGTTAGAGCAGGGAGGTCGAGGCTGGGGTCAGAAGTGGCATGTTGGGGCAGGATACGGGCACGGGCAAGAACAGGTGGGTCTCCCTCCACTACCCTGTCTTTACTCCAAACCCCCAGAGCTACCCGACTCTTCTGTGATGTCTACAATCCTCAGAGCAAGACATACTGTAAGCGGCTCCAGGTGCTGTGCCCCGAGCACTCACGGGACCCCAAAGTAAGGTTTTCCCTCAACTCCCCCCGCCCTTCTGTCCTTTCTTCCTCCTCACTGGCCCACATTCATCCCTTGCTCCCTCCTCTCCCCTCCTTCCTTACCTTTTCCCTACTTGACCACTTCCATGACCCCTGCTTTGCCTGCCTCATCATCCTTCATTCCTTTCCTTTTTCCTGTCATCTCCTGTTCCTCCCCTTTTCCATTCCTCTCCTCTCCCTGAACTTTCCATTCCTTCCTTCCTACCTCCCTGACCACTTCCCATTCCTGTCTTCTTTCCTGCCTCACCACCCCCATTCATCCCCGACCCCCCATCTTGCTGCAGGTGCCAGCTGATGAGGTATGCGGGTGCCCCCTTGTACGTGATGTCTTTGAGCTCACAGGTGACTTCTGCCGCCTGCCCAAGCGCCAGTGTAACCGCCACTACTGCTGGGAGAAGTTGCGGCGTGCTGAAGTGGATTTGGAGCGTGTGCGCGTGGTAGGTTTTGATTCCGGAATGTGGCTGGGGTCAGGCGGGGCTTCTGGAGCTCCTTCTCATGGCTCTTTTCTGCTCTCCTGTCAGTGGTACAAGCTTGACGAGCTGTTTGAGCAGGAGCGCAACGTACGCACAGCCATGACTAATCGGGCAGGATTACTGGCCCTGATGCTGCACCAAACGATCCAGCATGACCCACTCACTACCGACCTGCGCTCCAGTGCTGACCGCTGAGCCTCACAATGGCGCAGAAGTCCTCACACCCTGCATTCCAGGCTGGGGAGCTGCCCTGAATCCCCCATTTGTCTGTTCTGCCCTTCATATGTTTCTCCGGCGGTCCTTGAGTTTCTCCCTGTACGGATCCACCATTTGACTGCCCGGCTGCTGTTACCAGGGGGTCTCAGAACTTTTTCCTGTTCTTGTCTGTTCCTTTGTTTCTCCATTCTCTGTGCCTGGGCGGGACTGTGGAATCCGCTCACTCTTGCCTCCCCCCTTCCTTGTTTTGTTAATAAAATTTTGAAGAACTAAGAAAGATGGCTACTGATGGTTTCCACACTTTATCCAGCTGCGACTGCATTTCCAAAGCCCGTGGGTAGATGGGCTGTGGCACACTTATACCTCAGGAGGGGCCGCAGTATACAGCTTCGAGTACTCTGTTGGCATTTACTCTGTAATCTGCAGGAGCCCCCGTGGGCGTGGGGGATATGACTTGCTGAGAGCCCAATCACCTACATCCTCAGCCTTTCATTTTGAAACTGGGTATCCAGTTAGCGCTAATTCAGCGTGTGGCTCATTTACCACTTGTGTCAGCGCTGACATTCTCCAAACTAGATGTATTCAATGGTGGACACAAGGTCCCTTGTTCCCCACAAGCCTCTCTTTTGGGACACGTATGTAACAGAAGTCTCCATCCCGCCCTCTTGATGTCAGTCCGGGAGTCCCCACAGCACTACGTTTCCAGAACGGACCCGCCCTTCTCGGTTGCACGGACCTTCTGTTTACCTGCGGCGAGGCACGCCCCCTTCTCCAGTTCCCGCGGAAGGAGCTGGGCTCAGCGTGCGGCAGTACCAGTCCCCGCGCGCTCCTGTAACCGTTCGGCGGGCCGGAGAGAGCGGGACACAACAGTCCTGGGGCAGATGTTCGGGGAACCGGAGAGCACAGGCGCGACGTAAGCGAGAGGTGGGAGAGGAGGGCTACGGCACAACCTCAGGCTTCTCCGCCCCTTCCGCTAGGTTACCCCTGGTGGAGACGGCCAGGGAAACATCATAGGGCCCCAACCTTCCTCGCCCCCTTGGAAGAGAGCGCAGGCGCAAACCAGGTGGGCGGAGTGGGGCGAAAGCGTCGGTTGGCGAGGTGAGGAGCTCAAGTGTTGCAGGTCTCCGGTGGGGGTGCGAGCCGTAGTTGGATGTTAGAGCGCAAGCGCAGTAGTGCCGGGACGGGAGGCGCGCGCCGCTGTGGGACTGAGCACGCAGGCGCGGAGTCCTCCCCACTAAGGGCCAACGCTGGCGGGGCATTAGCGCGCAGGCGTCTTGCCGGGAGCGGACCCTTAGCGGTGGGCAGCGGGTTTCCGGTTCCGGGAGCAACGAACGGCCGCGGCAGCGACAGCTATCGCTTCAGAGGAAGCGTCTGCGGAGGAGGAAGAAGAGCAGGGCAAGGCGGGAGTCACAGGCGGGACCCTCGCCATGGGTCCGCGGACCTAGAGCGGCGGAAGCTACCGGCCCGGTGCCGAGCTGGTGAGACAGTCGTGAGGGTGGAAATGGAGAGCGCTCAGGCGTAGGATGGGGAAGAATTGAGGCTCAGAACGCTGACGGAGAGGAATGAAGGGCCCTCAGGCCGACGAGTGGGAGGAATGGCGGCGTCGGAATATTGAAGGGAGGAATAGAGAGGTTTTGGCGGAGGACGGGGAGGAATGGGGCTCAGAACGCTGACAGGTGGACGTGTCGGGAGCCTGGACGAGGACGGAGAGGAATGGGGAAGGATCTAAACGCTGAGGAGAGATCTCGGGGCCTCTCAGGTTAAGGAGAGAGAAACGGGGGTTCAGAACGCCGAGAGGGAGAAATGAGGGGTTCTCAGGTTGATGACGGGAAGAGATGGAGGCGTTGGGATGCTGAAAGGGAGCGACGGGGGCTTCCTCTGCAGAACGTGAAGTAAGAGGGGTTTAGAATGCTGAGCTAGGGATGGGCATGATCTTGGGACAAGAACGGGGACGAAAGGGGGTTGGTTCAGCATGCTGAGGGGAGAAATCAGGGTCTCTTCAGGTGATGAGTGGAATAGAAGATAGGAGACACGGAAGGGAGGGGATGGGATGAGAAACTTTAGCTGAACATGAGAGGAACAAGGAGGTCTGGGGACTGAGATTGGGGAGGACTTGTGGCTCAGAACACTGACAGGGAAGATGAGGAGGCTTTCGGGCTGAGGAGCAGAAGGAATGAGGGGGTGTTCAGGGTAAAGGTGTGGAGAAGCTGCGGGCTGTCTGGCAGAGGACACAGGAAATTGAGGCAGTAACAGTGGAGGTAGCAGGTAAGAGGACGTCAGAAAGGGAAGGAATGGGAGGGCTTTGACTGAAAGGGAAACTGGGGACTCCTGGGTCAAGGAAGGGAGCGAACGGGAGGTCAGAATACTGAGGCAAAGTGCTGGGACCTTGGTCTGGGGACGAGCAGAATGGGGGCCTCTTGGGCTGACGATGGGAGGAATGGGCCCTCTCAGGCTGAGGATGGGGGGTATGGAGGTTTCAGGGTGACAGAGGGGAGGAATAGGGGCCAGTGGGTCAACGATAGAGAATGTCTCCTGGGGGGAATGACAGGGTCCTAGGTTGGCAGTGGGGAGAAGTGATGAGTTCTCAGGCTGAGGATGGGTAAGAATTGGGGATCGGGACATTGAGGGAGGCATGAGGATCTTTGGGTTGAGGATGGGGACTTGAAAGTTGGAGACAGGGCTGCCAGGTCAAGAAGGGGTAGGAATGACAAGCTCCTGGGCCCAGGACAGGGAAGAATGAGGTGGGAAAGGCGATTTTTCTCTTTCTTGTATTGGCCAGTTGCCTGTGGTAGGTCCCAGGTCTTGGAAAAGCATTACCAAGTACCGGCGGTTTGTGTGGTTAGGGCACAACATGTCCTCCCCTAGAGCCTCAGTTTTCCCACTGCCCCCTCCGTGTTGCAGGCCGCTGCTCCTTCCTGTGGCCCCCATGGCTGAGGACTGGCTGGACTGCCCAGCCTTGGGCCCCGGCTGGAAGCGCCGTGAAGTCTTTCGAAAGTCAGGTGCCACCTGTGGACGCTCAGACACCTATTACCAGAGGTACTGGGTGGGTTGTGGACAGAGTCACGGATAGGGCTAAAATCAGGGGGTGTGGTTAAATTTGTGGATGGGTTGAAATTATGCAAATATAGTCGATTCTTATTATTTGCAGATTCCATATTTCCAAATTAGTCTACTCACTGAAATTTGTACTCTCAAAGTTGGTACTCACTATACTTTCATGGTCATTCATAGACATGCACAGAACAGCAAAAAATTTAAGTTCCCTGATACACTCATTCCCAGCTGAGGTTGAATGAGGCCTTCTTATTTTAGTTCATATACTGTAAACAAGTGTCTTTTTCGTGATCTGCTAAGTGCTGTGTTTTTCACATTTTTGCACTTTTTATTGGTGATTTTCATATTTACAATGCCCCCCCAAGTATAGCGCTGAAGTGCTGTCTAGTGTTTTAAGTGCACGAAGTCTATGATATGTTGTAAGAAGAGAATAACACGTTAAATAAATTTTATTTGTGAGTTGCAGTGTTGTTAGGTGTGAGTTCAATGTTAATGAATCAAAAATGTGGTACATTTAGAAAAAGAAAAGGAAATGTTCTGATTTGTACACGAGTCTGCTCTGGAAAATGCTGAAGTAACATGTATAGTATGTGATGAAGTTAAGGGAAAGGTGGAAAAATAGCCAAATTTGAAGATGCATAAGGAAATACTTAGTAAAATAAAATGTAGTGGACAGTGTGAGAGACTGGAAGCCAAGGACATTGATGGTTGTGTTACCCCTGATTAGGAATATGTTAAACCTGTCTCAGCTAGTACTGACTGGCTCACACGTTTCAAAAGGTGTACATCGTGAAAGACATTAAATTTGCATACAAGGCAGGTCCTGCAGATCAAGAGTTTGCAGAGGAATTTTAAAAATACCTGGTAAGTGTTACGTGTGAAAAGTGTCATGCAGAATAGGTTTTACTGAGGAGACTGGCTTGTTTTACAAGGACCGTGGTAAAGGTAGCTGTGTGACATAAATGGTCTCCAAAGCTCCTGACTTTAAATCATTCAAAGGCCATGCTGTCAGTCATTCGTAGGAATGTATTAAGTAGAGTGTCTTTAAATAGGAAAACAATAAAACAAGGTTACATATCGATTAGTTGACAGAAATGTCCCCTGAGGCTCACATTACCTTAACCTATAGTTCCACAAGAACAGAGGTTCTAGATTCACTAATTCAGTGTTCAGCGTGACTCTGTAAGACATACCAGGAATAATGGGAATCGAGTATAAATGCACAAAATGTACATGTTTATATGCAATTCACATTTAAGGATCTAAGGTGATTATTGAATTTTTTTCACTCTTCCTGAACTTTTTTTTTTGTCTAAGTAGTTGTTTTTGTGGAGGAATATAGCAAAATCATGAATATAATTATGTTTGTTTATACTTAATTATATGTTTATCCCCATATTCATAATTTGTGTGAAACTGTCAAAATTTAAAATTTTAAATACTTTTGTCAAAAACCGTAAAGCAACAGGTTTTATCTTAATTAGGGCAAGATAACGAGTATGTTACAATTTTGTGGATGCTGGTAGGATATAGGAGACTCCTGGGTCAGAGATGGAAGATAGTTCATTATTCACAGTAACAGCAGTATCCAGAATGTCATTATTTTTGTGCCAGTTCCCCAAATGCCAGTTCCCATAGGGTAACCTGAAGAGAACTGACTAACATCTGCCCATGCATTGGGTTGTAGGAAAGGAACCCTGAGCTTAAGGAATCCAATCTTTTATAATGTTAGGACAGTAAGGATGCCTTCCCTTTGCTCTGGAAGGAGAACTTATCTCTTATCTTCCAAGGCTGTTTGCTGTACAAACATCCTTGAAAAGATAGTTCATAACAAAGGACTATCAGTGCCTCTCTTGCAAGACATGCAGAAATGCTAGAGACCTGTGGGGTATTCTCTCCGAGAATATTAGTTGCTCCTCCTTTGTTTTATATGTAGTTGCATTTGTTTGTTTATGCATGTCTTTATATATATATATATTTACATGTTCATTTATTCACGTGTACGTTTTCAGACGCTTGCTTCTCCTGTGTTTTTCCTTTCTACGTATTTAGTACGTTAACTTTAATGCATTTATACATCATTCGACAAGTTTGTATTTCTGTCTGTGTTTATATTTATTTACATGAACGGACTACAATTAGTAGTGTATGTTATAAGTAAACGTGTATTTATTTATGTTTATATTTTTCACTTGTGCTTGTATATATGCTGGTATTTATACACATTTTGTATTTCTGCTATGCAAGCTTAGTTGGGGTAAGACCTGGTAGTGCTCACAGGCCAATCCCAGGCTGCCAGCCCTCTATCCCCTGCCAGCCCTGCAGGTCTGTTCACGAGCCCAGTGGGAGGGTTGTGTAGGTGGAGTGGCCATGGCTCCACCGGGGTACCAATCCATCCTGGCCCATTCCCAGCCCCACAGGAGACAGGATCCGAAGCAAAGTTGAGCTGACCCGATACCTGGGCCCTGCGTGTGACCTCACCCTCTTCGACTTCAAACAAGGCATTCTGTGCTATCCAGCCCCCAAGGTACTACACAGTGTGGGGTACCCAGGCAGGGGTGACTGAGCCACCTAACACCCACCCACAGATCTCTTCCTGCTTTCCCTCTCATTTGCAGGCCCAGCCCTTAGCTGTCCCTAGCAGGAAGCGGAAGAAGCCTTCACGGACAGCCAAGACTCGAAAACGTCAGGTTGGACCTCAAAAGGGTGAGGTCAGGAAGGAGGCCCCAGGAGATGAGACCAAGGCTAATGCTGACACAGCCCCAGCTTCACTCCCTGCACCTGGGTGAGTGTTGGCCTAAAGTGAGCCAAGAGGGTGAGGGTTGTGGTTGGAGATGTACTCAGCCTCCCACACCCATGTTTCCTATCCCAGGTGCTGTGAGAACTGTGGAATCAGCTTCTCAGGAGATGGTACCCGAAGGCAGCGGCTCAAGACATTATGCAAGGACTGCCGAGGTGAGTGGCCCCAGAGCCCTGGGAGGTAGAGGTGGAGCAGATCTGATGTCAAGCTGGGACACCACTGTCAGCTTTCAGGTTGAATGGTGGATGAGGTTAGATATCTGATGCTCCTTGTCCACTTCTCTTCTTCCGCCTCCCTTTCCTCAGCGCAGAGAATTGCTTTCAACCGGGAACAGAGGATGTTTAAGGTAAGCACGACCTGCCTCCTCCTCACAAGTGTGCGGTGGGAGCAGGATGTGATGGGGGCTGGTAAGAAGGTCTGAAGGAATGATGATGGATCCATAGGGTGTCAGAATCATTTTGTAGGGAGCTAGCTATGGTCAGTGGACAGTAATGTGTTAATGGGGTGTCAGTAGACACAGCGATGAGGTTAACCGGGCACTTGGAGACTTTGAGGATGGCCTCTGGTGACAGCTTGTTAGTAGTTATCAGATACAGTGATGAGGCATATGGTGGACTACTAGACATGGCAGTGGGGGCTAAAAACATACACGTAAGGGGCAGCATACCTGGAGCTACTCTGTCTGGGCCTGTGACCTCGCCCCACCCATTCCTGGCAGCGTGTGGGCTGCGGGGAGTGTGAGGCCTGCCGGGTAACCGAGGACTGCGGGGCCTGCTCCACCTGCCTTCTGCAGCTGCCCCATGATGTGGCCTCGGGGCTGTTCTGCAAGTGTGAGCGGAGACGGTGCCTCCGGATTGTGGAAAGGGTGAGTTGGGCAGGTAGGGTGGGCCCAAGGCTCACCCTGTCCTCTGGCTCTCAGAGCCCTGGCCCCATACATCATACCTCTGGCCTCCCTGACAGAGCCGAGGGTGTGGAGTGTGCCGGGGCTGTCAGACCCGAGAGGACTGTGGCCGTTGCCGAGTCTGCCTTCGCCCTCCCCGCCCTGGTCTCAGGCGCCAGTGGAGGTGTGTCCAACGGCGCTGCCTACGGGTGAGTAGAGGGGCCAGTGCTGTTGGGGCCAGGGCTGGGGCAGAGCTCATTCTGCTATTAAAGTTGCTACTGCTGCTGCTGCTTCCTCCCAGCCTTGCCCACCTCATGTCTTCTTTTCTCCCCCACCTCGTGCTCACCTCCCTGGCCTCACCTACCTGCCCCTGTCTGCCAGCACCTTGCCCACCGTCTCCGTCGCCACCATCAGCGATGTCAACGACGCCCTCCCCTAGCTGTGGCTCCCCCTGCTGTGAGTGCTGCACCCCACCTTCTGTCTGCCTGTCCCACGCATGCTTTCTGTACTCCTTTTGGGGGTGGTAGTGGGGGTGGAGGTAGGGGTCCTGTGTCTGCCTGGTTCCACCAAGCCTAAACTTCTCTTCTGGCTTTCTCCCAGGGTAAACGTAGCCGCCGTAGAGGAGGCTGCGACTCCAAGATGGCTGCCCGGCGGCGCCCCCCCCGAACCCAGCCATTGCCTCCAGTTCCCCTGTCACAGCCTCCAGAGTCCCCAGAGCTGGTGAGGCCCTGGTGGGCAGGGGGAAGGCACAACTATAACCTTACCCAGTACCTGCCCTGACCCCACCCATTTGCCTCTGCAGCACCCCAGAGCCCTGGTCCCCTCGCCACCTGCCGAGTTCATCTATTACTGTGTAGACGAGGACGAGCTAGTGAGTGGCCCCACCCTACCTGGACAAGCCTAGACCCTCCCAGGGCACTTGGTTAATCCCAAAGAAGCAACTGCTGCAATGGGCCTAATAGGGGAACAGCAAGACACAGTAATGGGTACTAGTATGGGATAAGCAGACAATGGGGGAGGGACTAACATGGGATCGACAGGTGCAGTGATAGTACCTAATGTCAGATGAATCAACACTCTGGTGGGGCTAATAGGAAAAGCCAGCATAGAGAATGGAGTTCACATAGGCTGAGCAGATACAGCAGGCACAGCATCGGCAGCTATGGAGGGTCAGCAAAATGCCACTGGAGGTGGGGGTCAAAGACGTTGTCTTGGTAACCACTGGTCTAGCAGATGAAGTGATGGATACTGCGTTGGAACAGCCACAGTCCTAATGCTCTTGGGCACTGTCTGGTGTAGTGATAGTGCCTGGTGTTGGAACTAACAGATGCTGAGGTGTGACTGAGACCAGTGCACAGCCAGTTCCCTTTGATGGAGCTAGTGAAGGGGCAACAAGAACACTCGAACAGTGCCAATAACAGCACCTCCCCTTTTGCCTGTCCCCCAGCAGCCTTACACCAATCGCCGGCAGAACCGCAAGTGTGGGGCCTGTGCAGCCTGCCTACGGCGGATGGACTGTGGTCGCTGCGACTTCTGCTGTGACAAGCCTAAATTTGGGGGCAGCAACCAAAAGCGCCAGAAGTGTCGTTGGCGCCAATGCCTGCAGTTTGCTATGGTGGGTGATGCAGAAGAGTGAGGTGGGTGGGCTACGTTGACCTAGGGCCAACCCCCTTCCCCGCCGTGCCTGGGAATGGTGGGCAGGCCTGGTGGGTAGGGCAGGCCAGATTCTGCATCTTCAGAGGAGTAGATGGAGCGGTGGGTTCAGGCAAAGATTAGCAAACATTGTGCTGGGATGAACGAATCTGAGTGGCAGTGGCATTAACAGGAGACTAGCAAGCTCAGTGATGAGGGCTTCATGTGAAAGCATGTTCTGTGCCGTGACTGATGGGGATTAGCAGGCATGTTGATCAGGGCAGGGTGGTCAATCATTGCATCAGGTGGCCATAACACCCTATCTTTCTTCAGAAGCGGCTGCTGCCTAGTGTCTGGGCAGGATCTGAGGATGGGGCAGGGCCGCCCCCACCTTACTCTCGTCGAAAGAGGCCTGGCTCTACTCGAAGGCCCCGTCTGGGTCAGATACTGAAGACCTCCTTGACCACACCCACAACCCGACCAGGCCATGCCCAGACTCAAATGAAACAAGAAACAGGCAGTGGCTTTGTGCTGCCTCCACCTGGCACTGATCTTGTGTTCTTACGGGAAGGTGCAAGCAGTCCCGTGCAGGTGCCTGGCCCTGCTGCAGCTTCCACAGAAGCCCTGTTGCAGGTGAGGATCCCATCTTAGCTTGCCCTTCCCAGAACTACCCAGCCTTGTGCCAGGAAGCTGGGACCAAGACTGCTGCAATCCTCCTTCACACAGGAGGCCCAGTGCCCTGGCCTGAGTTGGGTTGTGGCCTTACCCCAGGTGAAGCAAGAGAAGGCGGATGCCCAGGAAGACTGGACACCGGGCACAGCCATCCTGACTTCTCCTGTATTGCTGCCTGGCTGCCCCAGCAAGGTGGGGGTCAGTGATGGGTGGTCTGTGAGCAGAGTGATGGTGAGCCATGATGGTGGTTCTTTGAGCAGAGCAACAGATAATGCTGATTGCAGCCTCATCACAAAATTACCCCACCTGTCTGACAGATGCCCCACCTTCCCCAGGCAACTAACTTTGCCTGCTTTGCTGCCCAGCTAACAAAAATGGAACTCTGAGGAATGGGAAAAGTTTGTAGGCAGAGAGATGGATTTTCCAGGCTGAAGTGTGACAGAAGCGGGATTTGTCAGTATACTGACAGGTTGGCTGATAAGGAGACTCTTTTCTTAGGCCAACCCTGTCCTTCTGACTGCTGCCTGTTTCCCACCTCTCCCAGGCAGTGGACCCAGACTTGCCACCTGTGAAGCAAGAGCCACTGGACCCTGAGGAGGACAAGGAGGAAGAGAGCAAGGATGACTCCGCCTCCGACTCGGCCCCAGAGGAGGAGGCAGGAGGGGCTGGCACACCCGTGGTCAGTGCTGGGGGACATTTCACCCTGCCCTGAACCTGCTTTAGCCCCATTGGCCATGATGACCCATGATGTTAATTCTTCCCCAGATCACGGAGATTTTCAGCCTGGGTGGAACCCGCCTCCGGGACACAGCAGTCTGGTTGCCAAGGTGTGCCCCGCACAGTGAGGGGTGGTATGGGGTTGGTGCTGGTCAGATATGGGCCCTGAGTGTTAAAAATAGAGCCAGCAATTTGGCATGAGGCAGTGGGAGGTAGAGGCTTCTGTCACTGTGCTGATCCCGGTCAGTGAGGGGTTATGTGTAGGCCCGTAGAGATTTCCCCTGAGGTTCAGATTAGGGCTTTCCTTGGGTGTATGGGGTGGGGGCTGGGGAGTAGAGAGACAGGGGTTAGTGGAGGTTAAGGATTTGATGCCCTGTGATGAGATTTGAAAGAAAAAGGTAAAAGCCTGGTCCATATCTTTCTAAGAATATCCAGAAGGAGTCAGATTTAATATATAAATTTTTATCCAGTGAATCATTTGGGGTTTTGTGGGTGTCTGGAGTCTCCAAGAGATGACAGGTGGGCTGGATAGTGGTGGGTGGGCAGATCTGGGCCCTGAGATGTGCAACTGTGCAATCTTAGGCTAGTCCACCTCCTGGAGCGTCCTCTGTGGAGAGAGTTGGGCTGTGTTTCTTGAACCTTTCCTGAGCCTGTTGAGGTTATTAAGAGTTTCAGCTGCTTCACAGAACTGTCCCTGCAGGCCTGGCAATAGGATGAAAGATAGTTGTCCCTAAGGACAGGGCTGGTGGGAGGAGGACGGGAATACTACCTCCTGCAGAATGTTCGCAGGCTGTGTGCGTGGTCCCAGATACAGGCGACATAAACTGTTGGCCTAGGCACCTGGATTCCTTTGTTCCTACAAGCTAGTTTCTGCCGGCTGGAAACTCCTGCATCTGCCTTGGTTAGTTTGCAGGTACAGACTGAGTACCTGCTGGGTATACTGCAGTGTGAGAGATAACATTGATGAATGCAATGACCCTGGAAGGCTTATCCTTCAGGAGACATGGATTCCTGTCTTCAGGGAGCTATCATCTAAGGAAATAGTTTCCTTGTGTGTGAAATCATTATATGTTAGTGGAGAAGGTAATGTTTAGTTGTTGGTATTGGAATATTTTAGCAGAGAGATAAGAGATAAGGGATAATTATGGGGAAATGGATTCCAGGCACAGAATACTAGGAAATGGTTTTGTGATGCTCCATTTTACAATGAGCGAACCTCATTCAACATATAGTCCTGCTCCCTCTTCTCTAGGTCCAAGGACCTTAAAAAACCTGGAGCTAGAAAGCAGTAGACTGGAGGCTTCTGCAGACTGTAGGATTCAAGGTGATAATTTACAGACTGGCTTTATGAGAGACAACACTGATCTACTCAGAGCTGGACCATAGGCTGAGGGGCTTATGTAGGATTCAATAGGAACTGGAAAAACCTACCACCAAACCTGAGAATCAGGCCTGTTCGGTACTTTGAGATTATAGAGGAAGTAAGCAGGAAAGGAAGAGAAAGAATAGAAAGTTGTATCTGCTCCAACTGGTGCGAATCTCAGGAGCTTGACTGATGAGAAGTGTGGATATTATGGGTGGGGGATCTGGGGTGGAGAGGGGATGTAAAAGCCACCACAAAACAGCCTATACAAGCCATCTTCATAATAATTTTTCAATGGCTTCTGGATGAGACCTGGTAGTGTTTCTGAACATTTCCATTTCCACAGAAAGACAGCATTTGAAAATGTAATGTGAATAAATGAGGAAAGGAACTGCTATTTGGTTAGTTCCTCCTACTGATCTATTTAATTCTCAAGTCTTTTTAGGAAGACAATGATTTTTGCCCATTTTTACATACGGGAAAACAGACTCAAAGAAATTACATAACTTGTCCAGTGTCAAACAGCTAGTATCAATAAGCATAGAATCAAATCCAGGTTGTAAAAACCTTGTTGTTTAAGCCACCAAACGGTAAGCCATAATAACTATATTCGATAATGTGTAATGTTATAGTAACAGAAGTTTCCAGTGACCTTGAAAACAAGGTGGACTACTCTAAACAGAACAAATCCTTACACTGCTGCCTCTAGCGTGGTTTAGGGAGTGCCAAGGTTGTATGGATGGGGTCACCTTGTCACAACACCCTTGCATCCAAGAGACTGGGTTCTTCCCAGGCCTTGGGTGTCGTAAATATTTCTCAAACACTAAAGGACATCCTTCCCCAGTGGACACTTCGTTTTGCTTGTTACCCTCATTCTCCTCTGCCAAAGCAGTCTTCAGAAGTAAAGCTGCCAGCCTGGCTCATCTTTGCTGACAACTTACCTCCCTTGCCTATTGATGACTTTTGTGATTGGTTTCTGCTCTTGGCCCCTCTCTATTAGGAGTATGAATTCCTGCTTCCAAGTCCTGCATAAAGACCAGTCTTGACTCATCCCTGTCTCACTTCCCAGTTCTTCATAAAGTGCCAGAAAGTTCAGGCCTGCAGTTTGTTATGTAGCCAGCTTCACAGGGCTGTGACTGAGTGCATGCCTCCTTAAATTTTGTAGCTGTCTGTCTTCCCCTGCCTTTTTATAGTCCCAGCCCCGCAGCTTTAGGTATTTCACATGTAGATTAGATATTTCCCTACCCTTAACCCTTTCTGCCACCCTCCTCTGTTCCTTCCTTTGCCTTACCTACTTGAGCCAGAGTCAAGACTGGATAATTTACTGATACTGTTTTGCCCTCCCCAGGACCCAGCCACCCAACCCTAGTATTCTGTAATGTCCTAAATGAAATTTATTTGATGGGCATTCAGACTCTTCTAAGAGTCTGGCTACAGTGTGTATCACAGTACCATTGGAAAAGCAGCACCACTAATTATATATACATATGCATATGTAGGTATATGTGTATATTTTAAGGGACTTCTAGGGATTTGACCTTATGTAGTAGTGGGAGCTGGTTGAACAGTCTCTGTAAGGCTGTTGTCTTTACATCTAATGCTGGAGCTTGAAGTCTGCAGGGCAGGCAATCGGGAAGGGAAGATGGATGTAAAGTGTGGGAGACGGAGGACGCTTTGGCGCGCAGGAGCACGAGCACGAGCACGAGCACGAGCTGGAACCGGCGAAGATGGCCTAGAACCCATGTCAGTCTCTCACCACCTCCAACTTCGATAATGTGGGTGTCCTACAGAAGAAGCTGGTGCCCTTCATCACAGAGTTAAATACTCATCTGACCCAGGAATTAGAGACGCTGAAGGAAGATCCCAGGGAAAGTGGAGCAGCTGCAGGCCTGGCTGCAGGCCTGACTGCTGCCCCACACCAACGAGGTGAGCCAGCAGATAAGTGACAACATGTGTGAACTGCAACAGTGCCTGGTGCCCCGCACCAACCTTCCGAGTGTAAAAACAGTATGCTGCTGCTTGACTTCTGCCTTCCAGTTACCAGGCAAAATGTCTCTTGTGGCCCATCCTAACCGGAAGCATACGGGGAAGGGAGTTCTGGGAAACGTAGCCTAGTCAAGGTGACACATTACAAAGCCACCCTGCCATGAATCAGCTCCCAAGGGTCTCACTGCTCACCTGAGGATAACTTGATAAAGCTACGTTGCTGAAAATGCAAAGCTGAAGACCATGGATTTCATGGTGACCCCAGCAAGTACAGAAATTCTGTCAAGCCCACCCAGAAAAAAACTTGCTGGTCTCGGCTATTTTTGTATCATTCATTCAAGTATTGAGAACCTGGCCCATAGTAGGCACTGTACTTGATACTGGGATACAGGAATGAAAAAGATACAGTCCATGCAATTTTATTAAATACATCAATATGTATTACAAATGGTGAATGGATATCCAACTTTATCATGGAATTTAATGGTGAAAATCTAGAATTCAGGAAAACTGTCGGGAGGACAGCCCTTGCGTGAACCTTGTTGGGGCACAATAGGAATTGGAAATAATATAAATAGTTTCTATCTCTGAGCTGTTCTATTTTAAAATTATTTTAAAATGATTTCTATTGTCCTGTTTACTGTTTTCATACATTTAGTGTTTATTTGGGGAGTGTCTTGATGGTGGTAACTGTTAACTCTGAGAAAGCGGGATGGTGGGTGGCAAGATCTAGGTCAGGTTCTGTCCTAGGACCAGTCGCTTTCTAGGCCTTGGGGCAGCTTGGCTGAAAGCTGAGGCTCCCCTAGCTGGGCTCTAGTCCTGGCCCCGCCCCTCCACCCTCCGAAGAGGCCCGCCAGGGGGCGCCGGGGCCGCGGTCATCCCACCAGGACTCGGGAGACGCGCTGCCCCCCACCCCTGGCCTCGGGGGCCCTGGGGCGTGGCCTTTGCCCGGCTCAGAAGCCAATCCTTGGCGGGACCCGGAGAAAAGCCGACTCTCCTTCTTCACGTAGTGGTAAAACAGGCAAAACCGAACTGGAGTTAAGTTACACGGGGAGCGCCCAGGGTGAGGGTGCGGCACGACGAGTTCTGACCGACGCTGGGACGTTCGAGGGCAGCAAAGTGTCGCCAAGGGTCGCCTTCCCCTGTCGCCGACCTCATTTCGACGGGATCCTTCGGGCTGTACGACCTCTGGGGGTGCCCAACGGGCTCTCTCGTAACTCCGCTGCTGTTCCCAACCCCCGTGCCTGACTGAGGGCCTTTTCATTGCCTCCCTTTTTCCCCAAAGGTGTAGTGTGAGGGGTGGTTCCACCCAGATCAACCGGCGGGCCAGTAGCCCGTGGGACTTGAAGATCAAGGAACTGACCCTCAGGACTCTGTCCAGGGAACCGAGACGACCTCTAATTTCTTTCTTTTTTGTTTGTTTCAGGCTACGTAAACTCTTAGCAGTAAATGAAAATGAGTATTTTACCGAACTGCAATTGAAAGAAGAAGCATTATAGGAGAAAAAAAGACAAAATGACAATTATTAAAAGAGATTATTAAAAAGAGAAAAAAAGACATTATTTTGTGGCTGAAAAGCTGAACCAGCAATTCAGGAAATGGAATCCAAATCTAGAAACGTACCGCATACAAAATCCGAAGTGGGTGGATTACAAATGATTAAGGAATGCTAATTTACAGTAAATTGCAGCCTTGCGACGGTATACACAGTAGTTGTACTTTGGTTGTTAGATGTCAGTGACTAGGTTCTGATTTTATTCTGTGCTCTAGTGTTTTGTGCTCGTCCCACTTTAGAAGGAGAGTACCAAAGTGTCATTCTTAATCTGCTTTTAGTTACCACCACGTTGCTTTTGACCAGAAGTACAGCTGTGGTCTCCACCTGTGCTGAGGGCCCCTTCTAGGTTCCCTGATCTGTGTTGCCTGTTCCCCTTCCTGGGATACAGATTCTCAGGCCTCATTGCCTGCACTTCTTACTCCTGTCCTGACCCTGTTTTACTGGGATCCTTAACTCAGACTGTTGGCCTTTATTTTGCCCAGCCATGTCATGCCATGCCCTCCTAGCCCATCTGATCTGCCCCCTCCCCCCATCCTAAGGTACCCCGAGTCAGCTCTGGTTTCTGCCCAGTGCAGTAGGAAGATTTTATTAATAACAGGTTTATCATTATTGGTTTGGGTGGGCTGACAAGACAGGCCGTCTAGGCCTTAATTGTCTTAGCTGGCAAATGAGAATACCTGCTGTTCCCATCAACCCTCTAAAGTATTTGTGAGGCCCAAAGGTTTTATGTGTGAAAGGACCTTGCAAATTACCGTAAAGAACTACACAAATAGAAGGTTGTTGTCCTGTGATGATTACTACCATCATCAAGATTCACTTAAAAATGGCCGCAAAATTTAACCTTCCCATAAAATATCCACTAACTTTTCTCATGCTTTTAGGCTGATTACAGGATATAAATAGCAAAGTCATTTGGAATGTAATTAGATCTTCGCCTTCACTTCGGGTTAAGGAGGCTTATTTCTGTTATTCTGATGAACCCTAGAGGAAGGGAGCGAGGTCGCCGGAGGCCTGGCCAAGGGCGGGGTGAGGACCGCGCAGACTCAGCTCCTCGGCTCCGGGAGGAAGTTGCGAGCTCCGGCGTCTATGGTCACCATGGTGACGGGACCGACTTCGGCCCCTCCCACCTGCCCCTCACCCTGCAGGGCGCACCATGGCAACCAGACCTCTGCATTGCGGAAGCTGGTCCGGCTGGTCTCCACAGTCGGGAAACCCGCGGCGGAGGCCGCCCCCATCCCGAGGGACTCGAAAATGTACAGCCAGCGATTTGGCATCATACAGCGGGAGGTTAAGGGCCCCACTCCCAAGGTGGTGATCGTGGTAAGCACGGGATGTGTGTGCGGGACCCTACCGCTTTCTGCATTTCCCTGCACTCCAAGCCCAGCCAAGCCCATCCTGGCCCCAGCCGCGGCTCTCATAAGGGGAGCAGGTGCCTGATGTAGTGGGGGTTGAATTTTGAAAGAAGGAAAGATAGGTCATTCACCTAGCTCCTGTACTCTGTCCCTCAACCCACCCCCTCCCGCCCTCGCACCAGTTATATTTAGATTCTGTATTTGTAGAATCACCACTTGGGATACTGAGAGTTTTCAGTCTCCAAGACACCCAAGGGAGGTCTGTCCCCTTGTGATGTGGCGTGTCTGTCACGGAAAGGGTGCTGGGCTGGGGCAGGACAGGAAATCGGGTCTGGGCTGGTGGTGATTCAGCTGTATGCTCTTGGGCTGGTCCTGCATTCCCTGAGGAAATTGTATAAGAAAGGGGGATTGGGCTGTGAGGGATTGTGAGGGGTTATAGTGCCCTTCCTGTACCAACTCCACTGTAACAGAAGTGTCCCTGCAGGCCTGGAAATAGGACGGTTGGTTGCCTCTAAGGCTCTGGTGGTGGTAGGAGGCTAGGCGAATGTTGTGTGCTGCAGAATTTGATGGGTCTTGCTCAGAACCCCAGACACTTGGTCTATGCACCTGGATTCCTTTGTTCCTACAAACTAGTCTCTACAGGCTAGAAAGCCTTCATGTGTAATTCAGCAATTACAGAGGTATATTCTTGAACCCCTGCTGTGTCCACAGCACTGTGGGAGATACAGGGGTAAATACAATGACCCTAGGAGGTTTATTCTTCATTAAAAGTCTGATCCCTGCCTTCCTCTTGCTTATTTTCTAATTACAGAAACAATTTGTTCATTCATAAAACCATTAAAGGCTAACACGATAGATAATCATGTGCTATATTATCTGTGATGGTACTTAATGGAAGAAATATCAGGAATAATGAAGGATGCAGTTTTACTATGCACCACAGTGCACATAGCGTTTCTCAGTCCACTTACAGACCTGCTCCCTCTTCTCTAGGTCCAAGGACTGTAGGTCCTGGGTCTGGAAATCAATAGATTGGAGGCTTCTACAGACTGTAAGTTTCAAAGGGATAATTACATATTTCATGAAGGACAGAAACTGATCTATTCTGGGTTCTGTATCCCAACACAGAGATCAGGGGCTGGGCTATTGTTCGTGTGCCATCACTTGTGATGGGAACCAATAAGGAACAGGAAAAAAAAATATTACCACCAAACCAGAGAAGCAGACCTATTGAATACTTTGAGCTTATAGAAGAATAAAGAGGAAAAGGGAGAAATCAGAGTTGTGCATCTCAGATGTCAGAGTGTGATAAGAAGCGTGGATGTTAGAGATTGCAGAGTTTCGGTGGGGGAAGAATTAAAGCCGCCAGAGATGAGACTTGATGCTAAACAATTCCTCCAGGAGAAAGCCATAAATGATATAACATCTGAAGTAATGGAGAAGTAAAGGAGCAGTTATTTGGTGAGTGCTGCTGAGGGACCCAATTACTTAATTCTCAAAATAGTTTCTTAGGAGCGCATTTATTTTGCTCATTTTGACAGGTGAGAAAACTGAGACTCAGATTAAGTACCTTGTTCAAATTCATAGAGTTATAATGGGTAGAGGCCAGAATCAAATTTAGGCTGTAAAACATTGTTTTTTAAGACATATAAACTATAAACTCTATTGTTAGAAACTGTAATTGAACATGTTACAGTAACAAAAGACTTCAGTGACCTTGGAAACACAAAGTAGTTTTTTTAAATATAATTTATTGTCAAATTGGCTTCGATACAACACCTAGTGCTCATCCCAACAACAAGGTAGTTATTAAACCCTATGTTCTTCTGCCTTTAGCATGGTTTAGAGTTGCAGTGTCCAATATGGTAGCCACTAGCCACAATGGCTTTTAAGCACTTGAAATGTGCCTGCAGTCACATGTTGAAATG